GAGCACGTTCGTTGTTATAGCGTTTGTTTAGCGCGATTGTTGAAGTTGAGTGTATTGGTAAAGTTATATTCGAAAAGAATAAACCAGTTTTTATCAAGAAAGAACTTGTGTCACTTAAGTTTCGTCGGAACGAAGTTACGGAAAATTAATTAACAAACGGAGACGTAACAATATGTTTTATTTTGTAAATCTTGTATAGAATGGAGATCACCAACTGTAATGAAATTGAGACTTTCCCTGAAAACAGAAGTTATTATTTTTAATTGTTATCCTACATTAATATCATAATGACCAAATTCATCTTGCAGATCTTGTGGACAATGTAATATTTTACAAGTTTTTCCAACGGCTAATACTCATTTGAAATCATCCTTAAAAATGGCAGAGATGTAGGAGGCAAATTAAAAGTGGAAGGGAGGTCCAAGGCTTATTTGACTAAGTGAAGCAAGGGAATGTGTGTCACAGCTATGATCCAGAGCTTGACTTAGGGTCATGGAAGCTCTAAGGTTCTGGATTGAATTCTATGCCTTCTCCTGTTTTTTTCCTGATAATAATTTCCCTAATTTTGATACATTTTTACTGGGACTGATTGTTTCCTATTTTTACAAGTTTTGCAAGTCTGCTAAACTTATGGATTAATTAAGCTCAATTTCAATTCTATATTCTTCCCTATTTTTTTTGCTTTGTGATAAAACTTTTTTTATATATATTCACATAAAAGATTTAGATAAACTTACAATCAACCTTGCCTTTGAAATACACATACACACACACACACACACACATATATATATATATATATATTTCAAAAGCAAGGTTTGAATTTAAGTGATACTCTGAAATTTTAAGACTTTGGAAGAAGCTTCAACCTAAAATTCTAGAACAAGCTCGTTTGTTCAAGATTTAAAATTCTATTTTGTGAAATGTTTCAACTTTTTTCACAGAGGAATTCTCCATAAAACATTTTCTGGTTTCAATAAATAATTTCCAAATAGATGAAAAAATTCAAAGTTAGTATTAAATCGTTACAACCAAAAATAAGTTATGGATTATACATACGTATATTTAATGACAAGAACATATAAAAATTAAAACATAATTAAACTATTTCAAATTAAAAAAATTACAAATCATGACACTGTATCATCAGCAAAGGAGCTGAAATGATTTCTAGCTATAAAACATTCGGGCCAAGTAAATGACTAGTGTTGTAAAAACACAAGAACATAGTATAGGTGTGTGCACAAAGAGGTCCAGGAGAACACAGATCACCCAAATGAAAGAAAAACAAAAATAAAAACTAACAACAATCATGCGTTGTCAATCATCTGAGAACAAAACAATACAAAGAACATTATACATATTTTTCAAAACAATATAATAAGGCCCACCCACACCTTTAGCTATGTGCATGCCTATAGGCAGGAACTTTATCTTGTCTACTATGCACACCAGGAGTTACTAATGATAATACACAAAGACAAGCACGAGGTAAGAACCTTATCTGCTAAGCCGACCAGGAGTTACTAATGGTACTGTACTAACATACGTAAGTAAGACTTATCTGCTATGCCCACCAGGAGTTACTACTGATACTACACAAAGACAAGCACGTGGTAAGAATCTTATCTGCTAAGCCCACCAGGAGTTACTACTGATACTACACAAAGACAAGCACGTGGTAAGAATCTTATCTGCTAAGCCCACCAGGAGTTACTACTGATACTACACAAAGACAAGCACGTGGTAAGAATCTTATCTGCTATGCCTACCAGGAGTTACTAATGATACTACACAAAGACAAGCATGTGGTAAGAATTTTATCTGCTATGCCCACCAGCAGTTACTAATGATACTACACAAAGACAAGCATGTGGTAAGAATTTTATCTGCTATGCCCACCAGCAGTTACTAATGGTACTACACAAAGACAAGCACAAGGTAAGAACCTTATCTGCTATGCCCACCAGCAGTTACTAATGGTACTACACAAAAACACACACACACACCGTATGAACCTTATCTGCTACGCCCACGAAGATTTACTAATGGTACTAAACAAACTTATACTGAGATAAGAACCTTATCTGCTATGCCCACCAGGGGTGACTAATGACATTGTATAAACACAAACATGAGGTTCAAGGCTTATCTTGTCTGCTTTGCTAATCAAAAGTGTCTAACAACTTTGTAGAAAAAGAGGATGAAGGATTTTTTTTTTATCATGTCTGTCATTGTTATCATTTTTGACAAGTGACATTATAGAAATATAAAGACAAAATAAGAATCCTATCTGATACACTGACATTATGCAGATAGACTTGAAGAAAAAGTCTCATTTTGTTTGCCGTTCAGACTAGAGTGACTTATGCCACCATGAAGAAACAGATTTGAAGCAGAAATTTTATCTAGCAACAGTTTCATTTGAGGGGAATCCATGTTTAATTATGAACAAAATGACGGCAACAACAACAAACATTTGACACGCGTGTGTATGTGTGCGTGTGTGTTTATCTTGTTTGCTTGTAGTATTCTTGGATACTGCATATGATGAGTAAGTTATTAATCTCGCAAAATAAGCAATTCAGTGAATTTGCCTGCAACGTGTGAAATATCTAGAATCGCAAGAAATAAGAAATATTAAATGCAAATGTTTTGTACAAAAAAAAACAATATTTACTGACAAAGCCAATAATTACATCTACTGACAAAGCCAATAATTACATCTACTGACAAAGTCAATAATTACATTCATGCATGCAAATATGTTTAGGGTAGACTTTTCTTTATCCGAGGTTAGTTTAACTGCAATTGACAAAGGCAAGTCTAATCTTATAACTTCACAGGGCAAGAACCACGTTGTACAATTAGCTCTGCTTAGAACTATATTGCAATTATATTCTCCATCAGTGCATCAAAACTTCCCACAATGCCATTGTCAGTAGGCAAGCCCCAGTAACAGAAAATGAAAAACCAAAGTTTCTGACTTCTCAATCTTCATATAAAACTAACATGTTAGAAAACACATTGATATTTGATCATTCAATTATTCAAAAATTAGGCCAGGTGTGATAATAAACAAGTTCTGGGCTAAACCTTTGAATGTGTGAGACAATCCTTAAAGGTAAAATTTGAAGAGTTCAAGATTTGGCACATTCTGCTTACGTAGAACTTAAAACTAAGTGTGCAACCAGTACTCCAATTTTAAAATTGTGTGTGAATACAGATATAATTATATTCTATGTTACAGAAGGGCTTAGCTTACAATATTTGCACATCATGTGAAGAAGCAATTATCCTGACACTATACAAAATTAGACACATTGCAGATATTAGGACTAATATACTATAACAGATCATTTTACTCTAGGGTTCTGTCAATTGGTGTAGCACTAATCTTAATAGCATTTAAATTAGTTCTTTCATTACAGTCAAAAATCCAAAATCCTTGCATCTGAAAGTAAAGGATTTCAGTAAGCTATTCGTATGTTGAAAATAAATTGTTAAAACAAAAACATGGAAAGTCAGAGTAAAAGTTAATTCTATTCATTTTATTTTTACTTATTTAAATTCTAATTTCTTATCATTAACACAAAATATGATAGGAATCACAACATCTCATAATGCACAAAATATATCAATCAGTGATAATACTTTCAAATAAAATCATTAATAAATCTGTTTTGGAATCAGTTCAATTTCTAGCAGCATAACTAATGGAATATAGATTTTTTTAAATTTTAGATACTTGGTTGAAAAATGTATTTTTCACAAGTTAAAGAAATGATAATAAAATAATAATAAAAACACTGGTACTTACCACCTTTTCCTAAAACCTTAAGAAGCTCAAAGTTGGAAATATCCACTCGGCCACTGCCACTCAAGTTCACTGTGGATGGTAAATTAGCTCGTGTTTATGAACTGAAACAACTCATTCAAGCACTAGTATCAACACTACCTGACTGTAACAAAGAAAATTTGTTGACCTGGAAAAAATTCACCCACAGTGTTTGGATTTATAATGGACAATAGTTCAAAATACAAGGTCATACTTGAAGCTGACAGCAATTTTAAAGTTATCATAATTTTATGGTTATGAAGTTGTTTTGAATCTAATAGCAATTGGTGTTTAATTTCATCATGTAATGTAGAAGATGAATTTTTTTTTAGATAAATATCATCATCATTAAATATGCACTGGACCTTTTATCTGAAATTGTAATGGAAAACAAAAGTAGCCATTAGGTTGCTATGCAGATCTGTTACATTGTCAAACATTTAAATGCATTTATTTTAAATCCACGGAACAGATTTGTAAGTACTTTTCATAAATAATTCTAGAAGTTTAAATACAATGTCTCAACAAGAATTTAATCTGCCATAAAAAAGATTTGGTCAAATCAGTCAAAAGGCTTCCTAAGATTTTTCATCAAAAAAAAAAACTTTGCATTTTGAAAAATCCATAAAAAATGTAGTAAGGATAAAAGTAACAATAGAAATAAGAAAAAAAACATTATCACGTAGTCTAAAACTATATATAGTGTATCTTATTTTAATCACTTTCCAAGTCATGGAATGTTTTTACAAAATGATACATTTTCCTCTCTTATGAATGAGCACAAGTCATTTTACAATCATACTCCATAAGTAAGTGTAAAAATAAAGTAAACTAAATTTGGAAGTTAACCTTCTGAGAACAGAAAAGATTGGGATGTTGAGACAACAGATAATATACGATCAAAGATTTCATGAACTGATCTTGTGAACAAAGAACAATACAAGCTATTATAATATAAGATAAATTACAACTATAGTGACTTAATCTTCTGATCACAGCAGCAAATCAACATGTAAAATTAAGAATCTATATTTGAGCTTTAAATTAGAGCTCAACTAACTCATAATTTTATCATTCTTTTTTATTAAATAACAATGCATTTAACGTACAATGGATGACTCAGTACTACAATATAATTATTTAAATACAATCTTCTTTGACAAATATACAAATAAATTTAATTTTGACAATTCACAGAAGAATTTTGTTTTATGTCTTGTGTTTAATAAAAGCTGTCTACACCTAGTTTGCTGCCTTATTTTAGCTTAGCCTAACCCACAGTAAAATATAAATGTGTATAGCAAAATACCTGACCAATTAATTAACAGAGTTAACTGCTACATTTATATCTAAAGCAGTTCTTTTTCAACTTTATGAGTCACTTCATGATGGATTGTTCACGTGAAAAAATATTGTCATAAGTTTCTCTTTTTTTTTTAATTTACTGAATTTAGTCAAATATATATTTCAGAATTAAGTATTACAGTCATCAGTGCAAACCTATTAAATTAATTAAGTGTTTAACAGCCTATTCAATGATCCTCGTCTCAATTACTAGACACTTACTGAAGAAACAGATACTAACCTTTAAAATTGCAAGGGATCATTTAAAAACATATCCATAATGCTTTCTCGGTCTTGTGCCCATAGCTTTAACCGTATAACCTTTTATTTATTTTATAAATACAGTCTCGTTCTAAGCAAATTATTGATATATAAAAATCTTGAAAGTGTTATTTGTATATTACTCGTGACAATTTTTTTTATCGTGAGAAAAAATATTTAAAATTAATTCTTCCATCTGTTTCATTCTAGGTAGAAGTAAAGCCAATTGTTTTGATGTATCTGCATCTTGTATTATGTACACTTTACAATCACATACAGAATGAATGAATGGATAAGGTATGGATGAAAATCTGTTTTCTGCAACCTCATGAGCTACCACATTTTTTATTATTATTAACAAACTTGCTAATATTGTGTTCTCAGGTGCTTTCCATGCATCAAAAGTATAAATGAATACGTATGTATATATATATAATCACCATTGTACACCTAACTTTTATCTCTTCAATATTAAAAAGAAAGTACTACCCTACCCTGATTCACTGTGCAATGAATCATACTATTTCTATACTTGGCAATGACACGTTTTTTCCCGTGAGATCACCAAGAACAGTGATAATTAAGGTTTTTGTTTCTTCTCTTTATGTTTATACTTCGAATAAAACGTAATTGGCATATACAATGCTGGCTCACTAGTGTTTTGTACAAATTTCTTCATTTAGATATTTTGGTATCATTGGTTTTTTTATTCCTACGTTCAGCAATATAAAAGACTTCATGTATTCGTCTTTATTTCTGGTTTGAGAATAAAGAATTTATTGCTGATATCATACACAGTATCTGCATGAAAACTTAATTCAGTTTTAATATTACCAAATGCTCAGTGTTTCATGCAATTGACCTACGCAGGCAATGACCTGACACCGGCCATTCACCTGAGAGTTTATCACTCATGCGTTATATCACTCCAAACATCCGTTCCAGCTAAGGCCTAACAACCAGCCTAAAACTATCAAGTAAGCCTTGCTGGATACTCTGTTGCACTTATGAAATCCAACGACAACATTTAATGTTATTTTACATGCCAGTCGAAAATTATAAAATATATTAGTAATATTATCCCGTTTTAAATTATAACAAAAAAGCACACAACTAGTAAATCTTGAATATGATAATTAAAAAAAAAAGGAAAGCACTAAGTAATTATAATCTACTTAAAATAAATACGCTTTGGTATTCATGTGGGCCCTTGACTAGTGTATCTGTTAGCGTTTCTTTAACCTCGATTTTCTCAACAGATTACACAAGCTCTAACTGAAAATAGGTTACGGCAAAAAGTAGAGGTAAAGCGAGAATGGTGGCCTGGAAAATATTGATCCGAGGCCTTTAATACTAAATCCACAGTTAATTCAACATGCGATACGAAATACTTTACTATAAAACCACATTTATAAATTACTGATGGGAAAGTTACATCTTGTTGAGAAGTAGCAACCAGGAAATGTTCATAACAATTCTGGTAACTCAATGGGCCAACAGATGTCGGGTAATACCCGCACCTAACGTAGGCAGTCCTACTGTACACTAGAGGCTTTATATTCTATATTACATTTAGGATATCCATTTTCACACTTTCAGCAAATATTTTAAAACATTCTTACCTGCTTGAACCATATCTTCAGAATAGATTAATTAAATTTTCCAAATTCCTTTAATTATGCAAACGGATGCATCACAAAAAACAAATATATTAAGCAGAGAGCTTCTCAAGCGCTCTGCTGCATGCACGAGCGCTAGGTCAGAAGGCTGGAACAATTGCTGCCGAGTCAGCCAGTACCGCCACGTGAACGAGCCAGCTGGTTCGTAGGCACAGCAGCTGACATCATTTGGGCTAATGCCACGCGCGCATGCTAGATAAACGACACCACGAACAGAAAGAGAGATGCAGTCATGACAATAATGAAATATAGTTTCTTCTTTCTGTTGTTTGATACTGTTTTGTGAGGAATTTTAGTTATGGACAAATGTTCACTGAACCAAGGATATTTTAAATCTAACTTCGACAAACCACTAGCAGATGCCACTCAACGCAGCGCCGTAATCCTTAAATTCTCTGCGCTTAATTTTAAGTAAATATCACACAATACTCATCACAACAATATGATGGTTGCACGGTCGAATGTTACGATTCAATTACTGTAAACAATACACCCTCAACCACTCATGTCAACAAAAAGTATTCATCATTCATTGGACTTAAACAGATTTATTTAAATATGACTCGTATGAGCACTGAAAGGTCATTTAGATTTTGGATAATCGGATCGAGTTTTAATTTTTTATATCAAAGTAAACAAACAAATAAAACCCTTAAGTTACCATCCAAAAGCAATCAACAAGTATACAACTAATCAACCCATACTTTAGTGTTGGATTCTTTGATTAATTCAAAAAAAAATAACCGCATATCTACAGACTTCACAAATAAAACAATCCTTAATACGAAATACAGTAATACGATCCATCATGAGAAACAAAATAACACAATCTCACACGAAATTATGTACACAACACTTCAGGTGAACAAAGTAACAATCTTTCAGGTGAAAAAACGTAAGACAATCCTAGTTTTTCAACAAAGCAGGATAATTCTTCACATCAAACAAAATGAAACAACCCTTCAAATAAAACAAAGTAATATAATCCTTGATATGAAACAAAGCAAATGCAGTACTTCAAATAAAACAAAATAACACATTATTTGATATAACACAAAACAATACAATCCACGATACGAAACAAAGCAACTTAATTCTTCAAATGAAACATATCCATGAAATAAAGTAACACAATCCCTCATATTATGCAGTATAACACAACCCATTATTTGAAGCAAAGTACATAATCGTTCATACCCATAGAATAAAACACAGTAGCACAATCCTTCACGTGAACAAGGGAAGTCAATAATCTTCCCTACGTCAATTATAATACAATGTAATCATGTTTAAAAGGTACTTGTCTAGGAGTTAGTCACCACCAAAAATATAATAAAATCGTTCTACTGCTTCAAATACTTGTTTGTTTGTGTGTGATTATGCACAATAGGCTATCCGTGCTCTGCTCATCACGGGTATCGAAACCCAGTTTCTAGCGTTCTAAGTCCGCAGACATATCGCTGTGCTACTGGGAAGCTTCAAATGCTTAAAAATATATTTATTTTGTTCATTTTGGTTGAACATCTTGTGTCAGAAATGGACGTATGGTCGAACCTTTATAGAGTTGAAATAAAAGAATATCTCAAGAGTACAGACAGCAGTAAAACTTTTAATTTCTCCCTATCACTTACTTACCTTTAGTGTAGTACATTAGCCCGATAAACAAACAATCCAATACGCCTAAAAAGTTACTTTTACAAGTAATACATGAGACAATAATTTTGAAAGATCATAATAACAAATAACTATATAAAAAGTTAAATCGTCGAAAACTGGCGAAGCATTAGAATTTAATAGCCCAAACTTTGTGATAATAACCACGTTAACTGCAAACGTTTTTACCCCACATTCATCTTGATATGCCATTTCGGATCCAAAAATCAAAAGTGTGTAAAAACAGCATTTCAGATCTTTTGTTTTCAACAAGTCACTAGGTGGCCCAAGAGTCGTTTCGTTAAAGTAGCTTGTGTGAGACAAAAGATAGATCAGAAATGCTATTTATCCACGCCTCTAATTTTGAATTTGAAGTAGACAAAGTAAGAGAAACGTTAAAAAAAAACAACAACAAAAAACATTTGCACTTAACGTGATTTTCATCACAAGTTTTTGGCAAATTCAAATACAATTACGTCCGTTTTCAATAATATCTAAAGCAGCAGTTGTCATTGTTGAAATCACAATACTTTGCTTTAGCCAACACTGTAGTTATTTCAAGCGACCTCAGTACTTCTTTTGCCCCCACCCCCTCCTCGGTGGCTCAGTGGTAAATCTGAAGGCTTATAACGCGGTGGGCATAGCAGTGTTAGGTTTGTGCTTAACAAAAACAGTAAGTACTGATGTTTAGCCACTACAGTTCCAATTGTTCTGACAACACAATTATTTTTAATACCGATGTAATTACTTTTAGCCACTACACTTCCAATTGTTCAGACAACACAACAATTATTTTTAATACCGATGTAATTACTTTTAGCTACTACAGTTCCAATTGTTCACACAACACAACAATTATTTTTAATACCGATGTAATTACTTTTAGCTACTACAGTTCCAATTGTTCACACAACACAACAATTATTTTTAATACCGATATAATTACTTTTAGCTACTACAGTTCCAATTGTTCACACAACACAACAATTATTTTTAATACCGATGTAATGAGTTTTAGCCATCACAATTCCTATCGTTCAGCTAACACAGTACTTGTCTGGAATGTCTGGAAACAATAAAGTTGAATCAGAAACACGAGTGTTATGAGTCATTAATTAATTTTTCTTTGCAAAAGTAAAGTAGAAAGTCATGTGTTAAAGTATTATTATACAATGTTTTTTAAAGTCTTTCAGTAAAACACTGCATTTTGTAATTTATAAAGAGCATTATATTGCTGATATAGCTCCCAGCTATAACCACCCCTTACTACTTACGCATTCACTCAATCTTTTCTTGAACTCAGTTAAATTTTCTGCCTCCACCACCCTTGAAGGCAGCTCATTCAAAAAGCCAACCATCCTACGCTGCCAAAATTTGAATTTATGACACTTTGTCCTATTGTTTTCACTGCTAAACACAAAAAAGTTTAATGGTTCTATATTACAATACCCTTAATAATCTTAAACACCTCAATCAAATCCTCTCTGACCCTTCTCTATTTCAGAGAAAATAAGTTGAGATATCCCCTTCATGTAAGCTTGAGTGCACAATACAGATATTGTAAATAAGGTGTATTAAACCGTTTATTTTCATTTGAAAGGTGAATTATATTTCAATCACGATTTTAAATATTAGGTCAACAACAATCACCAAAATGAAGGAGTGAATTTATTACACGACAAAACTTCTGCATTACGGTCACGTGACACGTATGAGACTTGAAAGTGTCTACAGAAAGTTAATGCTGGCACTAAGTGTTTACAGAAAGTTAATGCTGGCACTAAGTGTCTATAGAAAGTTAATGGTGGCACTAAGTGTCTACAGAAAGTTAATGCTGGCACTAAGTGTCTACAGAAAGTTAATGGTGGCACTAAGTGTCTACAGAAAGTTAATGGTGGCACTATGTGTCTACAGAAAGTTAATGCTGGCACTAAGTGTCTACAGAAAGTTAATGCTGGCACTATGTGTCTACAGAAAGTCAGTGCTGGCACTATGTGTCTACAGAAAGTCAATGCTGGCACTATGTGTCTACAGAAAGTCAATGCTGGCACTATGTGTCTACAGAAAGTTAATGCTGGCACTAGGTGTCTACAGAAGTTGGCAACTCTACTCATAGTTATTCGCAAAACTTTTGCACATGTTGTTCGGATCGCGCGTTTGTGTTTTACAAATGGACGCTACGCGGGTTATTTTTTTGGGGTGAAATATTTTACAACGATTTTCTTAACATAAAACTGCACAATGGACCATTCGAATCCGGCCCACCGAGGGTATCGAAACACAATTTTTAGTTATAAGCCCACAGACTTATTGCTGAGCCACAGGGAAAGGAGGGGGTTATAACTAAAGGAATACAATGCACACCCTGACAAGCTATTTATAGGAGATTTTCCCTCTTCTCGGTATGAACCGAGGCACATTTCTAGTCCCTAAGCACTGGGAACACAATGTCGTGACGTTTTTACAAACAACTGATAATAACAACATTGACTACATCTTTAAAAAAGTAGATTAGCTATAAAAATGTCGAGAGAAAATATGATAACAGCAACTTTTGTTGTTACTCTTCTTCTGATAATTATTTCCACGATGTAGTCTTTATTACCTGACACAATTTGATACAGTTTCCCGTTCAGACTATGACCGGTGTCCGACGATCGTTACCCTGAACACGTGTAAAGTTCAGTTAGGTGTGAAATAATATTAACCCTGAAACCTCCGGCGTATTGTTGTATGACTAAAGTAGTTATCAGAAAGCAAAGACATGTTTGTCACTAAAAGTGTTTAGTCTTTAAGAAACTTCAATATCTTGAGCGAACATAATAAATAAAATCACAAAAAAAATCTTATTTTTAAAGCCTTAAAACCACAATCTATAACATCTGCTGATCTGTATTATTACGTATTAAGTGTGGTTCTCATTGCTTACATTACAATAAAGGTACCGATAGTTTGACTATGTGTAAGTCTATACGACTGATCTGTATTATTACGTATTAAGTGTGGTTATCACTGCTTACATTACAATAAAGGTACTGATAGTTTGACTATGTGCAAGTCTATACGACTGATCTGTATTATTACATATTAAGTGTGGTTCTCATTGCTTACATTACAATAAAGGTACCGATAGTTTGACTATGTGTAAGTCTATACGAATGAGCTATATTATTACGTATTAAGTGTGATTATCACTGCTTGCCTTACAATAAAGGTACCGATAGTTTGACTATGTGTAAATCTATACGACTGATCTGTATTATTACATATTAAGTGTGGTTCTCATTGCTTACATTACAATAAAGGTATCGATAGTTTGACTACGTGTAAGTCTATACGAATGAGCTGTATTATTACGTATTAGGTGTGATTATCACTGCTTGCCTTACAATAAAGGTACCGATAGTTTGATGCTAACGAAACTATTACCGCCATAAAAAACGTTACAGGCTATGCTTTTGATTTAGACGTTTGTATTGTTGATTGGTCTGAAGGATTGTTTGTTTGTTTTTGAATTT